TTGCTAATTCCAAAAAAATATTTTCAAATTGAAAGCACAAAAACAAATAAACAAACAATAGAAAACATCTGAGTGAATGCCGATGAATGAGAAGAAGAGCTGCAAGTGGTTGCAAGAAGAAATTGGTCCAGCAAGAATTTGCAAACTCTCACTCAAAGAACTGTCAAAATGTATCTCTCTAACCGCTCTCTTTTGCAGAACTTTCGGGTTAATAGACGACTTCCAGTAACAATTGTTACAAATGTTAGGGTAACCAGACACACCTTTTAGGATGTTAGTTGGTTGTCAAGCTCAGTTTTCTTGGTCAACCTTTTGTAGGCATTCATTGGTTGTTAAAAATATATTTTTTTAAAATTTGGGTTACAAAACAAAATAGAAATATTCAATTTTTGTCTCTTTGGCTGCAATAACTTTGCACGTTTTTTAGTTAAGAATGTATGTGTTCGTTTGTATGATGTATAGTTGTTTTTTTTGTTTTTCTTAAAAAATAAACTTATGAAAATGTTATTATCATTACTCAAATATGTTGTAGTTGTTGTTTTTTTGCTTTTCATTTGATTTATTTTGATTAATATGTTTTGTTTTAATTTATTTATTTATTTTCAAAACTAGATTATGCATATTTTGTATTTTGTTTATGTAAATGTAGGGGGTATGTAATGCAATGTGTGTGTGTTTGTTTTTGTCTATTTTATAATTAGTTTCTTTTGTATTTTGTATAAATATATTACGAGTTAATAGTTAAGTTTTACAATTAGTTTGATTTGTTTGTTGTTGTTTATTTTTCTCCTTTTTTTAAATTGAAAATAGAAACTTAAAAATATTTGAAATTAAAGTCTAATAAATAAATACTTCTTCCATTACCGATAAATGGCCAAAAAATCAGTGAATATTGTCGAATTAAGAATTAAAATAAAACATTGTCGTTTTAAGTGAACTTGATATATTCGTGGTAGAAGTATACAGGCATTCAACTTTCGACACAGCTGCTTGGACAATGAACTGTCGAAAACCAATTTTGGAATTGAAAATTTTGAATGAAAAATTATTGAAATTTGTAAAAATGGTTTGAAAAATGCATATCATAGCAATTCACGATTTGTGTGGTATATGAAAACATATAAAAATCTACTCATTTTTGTTAAAACAATTAAATTTTTTTTTTGACAAAGCAATGTTTCCAAGCGTTGAAGCATCTACCTACATTCTTCTACCATGGATTTTTTACTATCAACGAGACAAAGTTTCCACTTGACTTGAAATTGCATATTAAATTATTTAATAATTGGCCATTGTAATACAAAGCTTTTAATATATTTTTCCTACTCATACTTCCGAAAACTAGGGGAAAACTGCTGCCGGCTATACCAACAAAACATATTTAACAAAAAATCAAGCAAATGTTAAGTTTCAGAACTGCAAGGATTTACTAATTATGGACATTTTCTTTTTCGATATCATAAAGGGAAAATCGGTTATTGTAATAACATTTTTACAGGTTCTAGAATAGAGCAAAAAAATCATTTCAAATAGAATTTTGTTTAATAATACAGAGTGAGATGAAAAAACTGCAACCAACTTCAAACTGCCGGCATTTCTAAGCCACTCGTCCCATAGCTGTTATTCCAGTGAAAGCTCATTATATTGTTTACGAACGTACGTACAAAAGCATTTTGCTGAGAATTTTCTAGAAAAAGTTATTCGACAGTGTGATTTCTTTATATTTGGCTGGAAAACCACAAGTGGCTATCGTTAGAGCACTCCAGCATTTAAATGTTAATAAATTTTTGACGTCTCGTACCATCGCTCGTGGTACTGGTAGCATAGCCCGACGTCAAGGAAGTGGACGGAAGAAAACATCAACATCAGCAGTAATGGATCGAAAAGTAATAAAGCGACTTTAACGAAGCGAAAACCGAGTCGCAGTCGCTGAAAAATGGCTTGTGAGCTGAACATATCGCAATATTGCAATCGGCAAATATTGAAAAATGAACTCAGGGTAAAGCGATTGAAATTCCAAGCCAAGTGCAAGAACTTACACCGCAACAGAAATAAAATAGAGCTAATAAGAAAACATTCGTTGACCAGCAGTTTGTAAACAAACAAAATTATCGTGTTTACCTTCGGTTTGTGCTCCTTCGGTTGGCCACCAGAACTCATGCGCTGGCATGAAATACCACAGCTTAAACAGTCAACGTGCGAAATTGGGTTGAAGTATTCAAAATGTATATCAAGGCAGAGACTCTCAGTGAAATTCTAAATGTTCTAATGACACTTATTTCGAAGAATTTATTATATTTCCTGAATAAAACAATTGTTTTTATTTTAATCATTGTACACCTCTTCATTCCACAACTGTATATATTCAAAAAAAAAAAACTCCAGTGGACTAAAGAAGCCTAAGCAGACACAGAGACACACATAAAACAGTATCGTATCCAGGTAAAAGGGATTTCTATAGAAGGAAATATATTTTTCACACATCACCAGTCCAATTTATATGTGAATAATGTCTTATGGGAAAAACTTAAGAAAATGTCCGGACCGACTTTCAAAGCAGTACACATTAAAGCGTGGTTGAATAGTTGTGTGTGTGTTTTTTTTTTTAACAAAAATTGTGGAACAAAACCAAAAAGAGAAGCTTCAAAATTGATTAAATTGAAAAAAATCACCAAAGAAATGTGAAATACAGCGAAACTGTTACCACGGCACTTGCTTCCAATAAGCTGTAAATCATTAAAATGATGATTTGAGAGTTTGAAAATCAATTCCGATAAAGACTAAATTAAAAAAATGGGGTTCCTTTCTAAAAACTCGTATTTATTTGCGTCATTTTTTATGCCTGAAATGAAACCTAATAACCTTTATTTCCCAAAATAAAATGATGTCTTAAAATATTTATATGAAAGACGATTTGAGAGTTTGACATTCACTTCCTAAAGTTCACATTCCTTTGACCCACTTTTTATGCTTGAATTGAGACTTAAAGCCAGTTTTTCAAATTAAAAAATTGAAACTAACAGTACGTTTAAATACAAATGGATTAACCCACGGGATTTGGGTAAACATTTTCACATCCATTACTTATACTTCAAATAAATCCTCTTGAAGTAGGTTAACCCTGAAAAAAGTTCTAACGTAAATATGGCATCGTATTTTTTCGAGTTCACTTTTTATCATTGAGAAACAGGCCGGTCATAGTTTCGCAAATTATGCTATATTCAAAACACTTGGAGGAAAAAACACGTAAAAAAGCAGATGAGTTAGGCCAGGCCGAACTTTAAATACCCTCTACCATTTCGAAGACAATTGAAGAATTTCAAAAAAAAAAAAAAAAAAAATCGAAAACTACCACTTAAATTAAAACCGACATATGGGGGCTATACGAAGACGTGGACCTGCATACGATTTTTTTTGCCATAAGTTGTAGTACCTATTAAGATCTTGCAATACGAAATTTGAAACGATTACGCCGAATAATGTTGCTGAAATCGTCAAAATACCGACTATCGGGAGGTAACGTTATATGGGGGCTATACGAAGGCTTGGACCTGCATACACAAATTTTTGTCATAGGTTGTAGTACCCATTACGAATTTTAAATACGAAATTTGAAATAATTCCGGTAAAAAATGTCGTTAAAATCATGAAAATACCGAATATCGGGAGGTATCGTTATATGGCGGTTATACGATGACGTGGACTTTCATACACAGTTTTTTGCCATAGGTTGTAGTACCCACTAGGATCTTCCAGTACGAAATTTGGAACTATTCCGGTGAATAATGTTGCTGAAATCATCAAAATACCGAATATCGAGAGGCACCGTTACTTGGGGGGGCTATACGAAGACTTGGACCTATATACTAAATTTTTTACCATAGGTTGTAGTACCCATTACGAACTTCAAATACGAAATTTAAAATAATTCCGGTAAATAATGTCGTTAAAATCATGAAAATACCGAATATTGGGAGGTACCGTTATATGGGGTCTATACGAAAACGTGGACCGACATGGCCCATTTACGAACTTAACCTGCCTACTGATAAACTATGCATATATGCAACATTTTAGCCTTCTATGTCAATTCGTTCGAAAGATAGCGTGTTTGCAACAGACGGACAGACAGACAGACGGACATGGCTAGACCGAATTAGAATTTTATGCTGATCCAGAATATATATACTTTGTAGGGTCTATTATGAATATTTCGAGGAGTTACAAACGGAATGACAAAGTTAAAGACAATTTTCGAATTTGATTTTCTCTTTTAAAAACTCGCATTCCTTTAGATCACCTGTTACGTTTTGGATTGAAACTTAATAACCCCACTTTCTATAATATCTCAAAAAGGAAAAGCTATATTGAATATAAAAATTTAGTTTCTAAAAAAGGTTGGCTGGTGGCAATATAAAATTAATTTTGGTTTTTAATAATTTTTTAAAATTGATGGAATCCTAAATAATTTTTGTCCAGAAAACATAAATAAAAAAAAATTCAAATAAAGCCAAATCACAATGGAGCAAAAGTTACTATGTATATTGTCAAAGGTAGTCTTCTTGTCCGACCTTTTACCGCCTGTTTTTGTAAACAATTTCTGTTCAAAACGATAGATATCCTCTTATAGTTTTTTCCTGATGTTCTCTCTCGTATTTGTTTTTTAGAAACACCCAAATATACAATGGGAATTAGAAGTTTTCTTGTGTATGTCACTGACATAAAAGCATTTGCTTCAAAAACCAAATATTTTTTTCAATCAACAAATATGCGAACGATTGGGCTGTTAAAGCCCTAAATTTTTCTTTTTTTTAAATAAATTACATATCTGAATGAGACATTTGGAATGGTGCTCTTATTTCGTTTTCGTCATGCAAAAACGGGCCCTAAAGCAAAATCAACTTGTCATTCTATTCATAACTTCAAACCACTTTAAAGTTTTATGTGTTCAAAACAAAATTAATTCAAAAAAAAAAAAAACAAAATTAAAAGAAAAAAAATTATTTTTTAATGAATGCAAACTAAATAATAGTTTATTTTTTATTGTTCTTCTTTCTTTGTTGATGTTTTATATTTTATCTTTTTGTGTGTGTGTTTGCTTTGTTTAAAAGAAAACATACACTTTTTCATTCATTTAGTTTTAAGGATGTTTTTTTTTTAGCTTTGAAATGATTTTTTTGTTTTTCATTCATATTCTGTTAATTTAATAATAATTATATACGAATTGGTTTTCTAAGTGACCAGATACAGTGGAGTTTTGTTAGTTAGTAATGCGGGCGGGCAGCAGTTTAAACTAAAGAAAAAAAATATTTATAGAAAAAAAAATAAAGAGACAATTTGGTTTGTGTTTGTTTGTTTTTTGTTTCATAAAGAGAAAATAAAATTATTAATAATTAGAAACTTGATACATTTGATAGGTATCTATATTTTTCAAATAATGAAAAAAAATATATATATTAAATAATTAAACAAAAGTTCTTAATTCTTTGTGGATTTTTTGTTTTGTTTGATTGTTCTTGAGAAAATTATAAAAACAAAATATAATTTTCTTTCTCCTTTGAATTGTTTTTCTTTAAATAACAGAAAACACTTAAGACTATTTAGGTTTTTGTTTTGTTTGTTTTTTCTTTGTTAATGTGTATTATAGTAATATTATTATTATTAATATTTGTTTAAATTGTAATTAATTATTTTATTTATTTTTTTTTTAATTAAAAAAGGCGGTGGTTTTTCTTTGAAGAAATAATAATTATAATAATATTACTAATAATAATGATAAGAGCAAGTAAATCATTTATGAAATTACACAAAAGAGACATATTATGTGAATATGCATGTGAATATGTATGCATGTATGTGTAAAGGTGTATGGAAAAAAAGAAACGAAAAGAAAAACATGTGTTTTTTGTTATATGATTAAACGTTACTCCTAGTACATTCTTGTTTTTATTATTTGTTTATAGATTTTTTTAGGATTTGTTTTGTTGCTCTAGTTGTAATAATAGTATACTAAATGTTTTTGTATGATTTGAGTGTTTTTGTTGTGTTGATTCTTTTATTTTTAATTTTAAATTTAAATATTTGTTTTTTTTTTTTAATTCTATTATTGGTTCTATTGTTGATGATTGATTTGTTGTTGTTGTTGTTGTTTTTTCAGCGATTGTAATATGACTCACATAAACGAGAAAAAAATAATAATAATACATATTTAACTTCTAATTTGTTGTAGGTTCCTTTTCTCCTTCCATCATTTTCATCTTTTTGTTTGTTGTTTGTTAAAAAAAATTAACAAAAAAGCACACACTGGCAGCTGTTTAAAAATATCTGCAAAAAGGAGCAAAAATTCCATAATCAGAAAATAATTAAAAAATTTAAAAAAAAATAAAAATAATAATATAGAAAATAAATATGCGGGGAGGTTCCGAAGCAGATGGACAATATTGCCCAATTCGTATCTAATCTAAGGCTAATAAAAATATTACAATGACACACACGTTGTATTTAAACTATATCATCTACTTCATATACTTTATATGAGATATGTGGACATTTTTGGAAAATGTGTGAGATTCCAGATATAGTGACAATAGTCCACTTCATCTACTACAGATAAAAATATTGGTACATGCAAAATTCAAAGAAAATCGAACATTTATATCCAAATTGCCATAAATTATATATTCATATCAGATTTCGGGCTAAGGGAAATATTTGACTTGTATCGCAAGTTATGACAGATATATGTATTCAAAATGTTGACCCCTTGTGAGTCATTCAAATGGATCTTCAAACTTTGATCCTTTGTGAGGGAGGTACCAGAAGGAGTGGACCAGGACATCCCAACATCACAGCTGATCTTGAGTTAGTAGAAATAATGGGATGTGTTTAATATTTAAGGAGAACCGGATGCGGATTTAATAATCGTTTTGGATATTCAAAATTTTGACCCTTTGTGGGGGAGGTACCAGACGGAATGGTGGGATCTCTAACATTTTTATAACACCTTTTGTGTTGATAGAAATATTGAGCTGTTCCAAGTCTGAATGGAATCGAATGTTAATTTCGCGTATAATAAAATTCATGGATATTCCAAATTTTAACCCTTTGTTGGGAAAGTGCCACAATGAGTGGGCCGATATATTTCATTCTCACCCCAGACACCTTGGTTTAATAAAAAAATATTGTGATGTGTATAATTTGAAGCCAATCGGTCTCCTACATAACATTTTATAAGACTTATAATTATTGAAAATTTTGACCCATTGTGGGGGAAGTATTAGATGGATTGATCCGCACCTGACCTAGAACTGATACAAATATTAGGATTTGCAAAGTTGCAGCAAAATCGGATTATCCTTTCTCTTTCTGTGCAGTAAAATATTTTCTTTGAAACTTTTGACCTTTTGTGGGGGAGATACCAGAAGGAATGGACCAATATTGCCTCTCTGTAGCCATATGGCTGAAAACAGTAAATTCGACCCGGCCTCCACCATTTGGAACGAATTTGGAAATTTCAAAAAAAAAAAAAATAAATAAATAAATAAATAAATAAATAAATAAAATCCGTTAACGAATGTACAACGGGGGTCCATTCGTACATTCGGTATTTTTAAGATTTTAACGGTTTTATTTATTTATTTATTTATTTATTTTTTTGAAATTTCCAAATTAGTTCCAAATGGTGGAGGTCGGGAAATGACTTTGGTGAACCATGTCGCTAAAATCTTCAAAATACCGAATATTGGAAGGTACCGCTATATGTGGGCTATACAATATCGTGAACTTATATAGACATTTCTCTTCCAGGGGAGTAAGAGCTGAAAAGGAACTGATTTTGTGCATTTTCAGACAATTTCATTGAAAAATTTGGCTACAATCATAAAAATATCGAAAATCGGGGGAACCGTTATATATGGACCGATATAGCTCATCTTGGAATTTGACCTGCCTGCAGACAAAAGACTGAAGAATTTTACGCTGATCAAGAATATATATACTTTGTTATGTCTAAAATTATTATTTCGATGATATACCCTGCATACTATATATGGTGGAGGGTATAAAAACATTGGAACCAATAGGGTAAACTGTGGATAGCAGTTAAATCACTCTCGAACCCTAGGATAAAAGGATGACAGTATAGTACGGTTTTCTACCAAACATCCTAGAAATTGTATCAATGATCGTGCAAACTTTCAGAGGTCTATCTTTAATAGTGCAAGCTCTATAGAGATTCCAATATGCAGACATGACTAAATCGGCATGCAATTTAAAGGTGATAAAGAACATATATTTTATGGGGTCCTGGACGAGTATTTCAAGGGGGTCTTTTAAAAAATGTAATCAAACTTATTATGTGGTGGCTCTTTTCGAAAGCTAGGTATTCTCTGCTTTACCCCATGGTAAACATTACCATCGTTCACCACTAATAAACGAACGTTGTTTTTATAAAAACAACAATAAAGGGATTAAGCCTGACCATTTTGCAACAACAAAATACTATGGTATCCCGAACAAACAAGCCAACACTGTTCTTATAATTAATATTTATTAATAAAAAATAAATTATTGAACTTACCTTAAAAGTAAATGTTTTGTATTTGCATTAAATTTTTGGCTCTAAATTTCACTAGATTATTAGATTATATGTAATAATAATTATAATAAAAAAGTCAATTTGATTTCTTTGTTGTTTGACGCGCACACACACACCCATATGTATTTTTCATGGTGTATGTGTGTGTGTGTGTGGTAAGTTGATGACGTGGTTGTTGATAACTTGGAGCTGAGAAGTTGTGGAGTTGTGGTGGTTGGTTGGTTTCTTCTGTACTTTATCTAAAGTGCAGGCAGGCAACAGACTTCAACAGGAAATTCAATAAATATTTCTAATTTATTTGAATTTTAATTACTGGAGAGTTTTGGTTTTTAATTTGCAATTAGTTATTGCTTTGCATGGTTACTCGATTATTTCTTTTTTAAAAACTTATAGAAAAAACGCCAACATTTAGCAAGAACATCATCATCATCACATACCAACCATCTTCTCATATAAGGTGGTAAGGTAAGGAGTTTATCTCTCTTTTTTTTTTGTTGCATTTGCTGTTTTTGGTGGTAGTGGTGGTATGAGTGATTTTTTGTTCCTAAATACACATACTTTCTTTTTACTTTCATATAAGTATGTATATTTGTATTTGTTGTATATATTTAATAGTTCACTATATATTCAATATATATATGTAGTTTTCTTTTCTTTTTTTGTGTAGTTGTTTTTTTCTGTTGCTTTCTAAATTGCCTTACAAATCGTCATCGTCATCTTCAGGACCAGCTATAATTGATTCGTTGGGATCATACATAACCATATCATCGTCATCATCAATACCAGCAACAGCAGCCGAAGCATTGCCAATCAATGCCTCCTCCTCCTCATCGGGATCATCGGCTTCAAATTCATCATCATCTCCATCAACACCACCACCACCGCTGCCGCCAAATGCACTGCGTTTTCTCTTGGCATTTGGAAATTTGCTCAATGTATTCGATTTGCGTTTTGTAATGCCCGGAAAATCATCATCCAACAAGACCTTTTCGACCTCTTCAATATCTTCGAAGGTGGCATTTTGCATTTGTTTCAAACGCAACTGTTCCAGTTCTTCGGGCGAACGTTTCTTACGGAATTCATAGACAAGCGGGAAAATGTGTTCAATGGCATTTTGAACGTGGGCAACACTGGCAGCTGTAGAGAAAGAAAATGGAAATAAATTAAAAAAATATATACGACTTGCGATTTTCTTAAGAATATATAATAATTTACGGTTTGTTCTTGTATGGCAATTCGAAAGTGAATTCGAAAGAAGAGGAAGAAGGTGAGGGCGAAAAAAATTCCATATTCACGTCAGATCTCTGGCTGAGTGAAATATTGCAATATATCAAATTTGAAGTGAACCGCTGAATTTTTTCGCATGTTATAATGTTTACCCTTTGTGGGGGAGGTACCAGAAGGTGTGGTCAGCCATATTCCATCTTCACACCAAATCTTCTTTTAGTTGAAATTTTGGAATGTTGAAAATTTGAAAAGTTTCACATTTTATAAAAATTATAATATTTCAAAATTTTAACCCCTTTGTGGGAGAGGTACCAGAAGGAGTTGTCCGCCATATCCCATCTTCACACCAAATCTTGTGTTGGTTGAAATATTGGGATGCCTGAAATTAGGAAAGAATCGGATGCTTTTTTTGCATTTTATGAGCGTTTTTGCTTATTCAAATTTGTGCCCATTTGTGGGAGAGGTACCAGAAGGAGTTGTCCGCCATATTCCATCTTCACACCAAATCTTGTGCTAGTTGAAATATTGGAATGTGTCGAATTAGAAAAGAATTGGATGCTTATTTCAAATTTTATGAGCCTTTTTGGTTATTCAAAATGTTGTCCTTTTGTGGGGAAGGTACCAGAAGGAGTTGTCCGCCATATTTCATCTGCACACCAAATCTTGTGCTAGTTGAAATATTGGAATGTGTCGAATTAGAAAAAAAATCGGATGCTTATTTTGCATTTTATGAGCTTTTTTGGTTAAAATTTTGTCCCTTTGTGTGGGAGGTACCAGAAGGAATGGTGCGATATATCCCATTTTCACATCATACCTGATATTAGTAGAGATATTGGTATGTGTGAAATTAGAAAAGAATCGGGTGCTTAAATTGCATTTTATGAGCGTTTTTAATAATCCAAATTTTATCCCCTTTGTGGGGGAGGTACCAGAAGGTGTGGTCCGCCATATTCCATCTTCACATCGCAAATTATGTTAATAGAAACATTGGAATGTGTGAAGTTTGAAAAGAATCAGATGTATATATTGCATTTTAGGAGAGTTTTTGGTTATTCCAAATTCGGCCCATTTGTGGGAGAGGTACCAGAAGGACTTGTCCGCCATATCCCATCTTCACACCAAATCTTGTGTTGGTTGAAATATTGGAATGCGAGAAATTAAAAAAGAATCGTATGCTTATTTTGCATTTTATGAGATTTTTTGGTTATTCAAAATTTTAACCCCTTTGTGGGGGAGGTACCAGAAGGAGTAATCCATCCAGTCCATCATCACATCATATCTGATATTGGTAGAAATATTGGGATACGTGAATTAAGAAAAGAATTGGATGCTTATTTTGCATTTTATGAGCGTTTTTAATAATCCACATTTTATCCCCTTTGTGGGGGAGGTATCAGAAGGGGTGGTCCGATATATTCCATCTTCACATCACAAATTATGTTAATAGAAACATTGGAATGTGTGAAGTTGGAAGGGAATTGGATGCTTAATTTAAATTGTATGAGCCTTTTTGATTATTCAAAATGTTGGCCCTTTTGGGAAAGTACCAGAAGGAGCTGTCCGCCATATTCCATCTGCACACCAAATCTTATGTTGGGTAAAATATTGGAATGTGTGGAGTTTAGAAAGAATCATATGTTTATTTCGTATTTTAAAGACGCTTTAGTTATTCCAAATTTTAACCCCTTTGTGGTGGAGGTACCAGAAGGGATGGCCCGATGTAACCCATCTTCACACTACATCTTTTATTAGTAGAAATATTGGAATGGATGAATTTTGAAGACAATCGGATGTTTATTTCGTATTTTATGAGCTTTTTTAATAATCCGAATTGTATCCCCTTTGTGGGGAAGGTACCAGTAGGAGTGATCCGATATATTCTATCTTCACATCAAAGCTTGTGTTAATAGAACCATTGGAATGTGTGAAGTTTGAAAAGAATTGGATGCTTATTTCAAATTTTATGAGCCTTTTTGGTTATCCAAAATGTTGTCCCTTTGTGGGGAAAGTACCACAAGGAGTTGTCCACCATATTCCATCTGCACACCAAATCTTGTGTTGGTAAAAATATTGAAATGTGTGGAGTTTAGGAAGAATCAGATGCATCTTTCGCATTTTATGGACGCTTTAGTTATTCCAAATTTTAGTCCCTTTGTGGGGGAGGTACCAGAAGGAGTGACCCCAGGTAACCCATCTTCACACCACATCCTTTATCAGTAGAAATATTGGGATGTGTGAATTTTGAAGACAATCGGACATTTATTTCGTATTTTATGAGCTATTTTATTATTCCAAATTTTAACTCCTTTGTGGGGGAGGTACCAGTGGTCCGATATATCCTGTCTTCTCAGAAGATTTTTTTCCTTTAGATGTGTTGGGATGTTCGAAGTTTGAAAATAATCGAATACTTATTTCGCATTTTATAATAGTTATGATGATTTCAAATTTTAACCTTGTAAGAGAGGTACCAGAAGTAGTGGTCCGCTATATCGCATCTCCACACAAGAACTTGTATTCATAGGAATATTGGGGGGATATGCAAAAATTGAGGACTACCGGACTCTTATTTTTCAATTTTTATAAGAGTTATGATTATTCCCAATTCCAACCCTTTGTGAAGAAGGGTCTGGATGGAACGTTTCGATGCTGTCCATTTTCGAACCTTACCTAGCACTGATACAGATATTAGGATTTTCAAAGTTTGAACAAAATCGGATGATCTTTCCCCCTCGTGTGTGGTTAATTATTTTCTGTAAACTTTTTAAACTTTAATGAGGAGGTTCCAGAAAGGGTAGACCGATATTATCCAACTGCGAACTCGTTCTTATTTTGAATAGCCAGACGGACGGACGTGTCCTGAAACGGTTTTCGTCCAAAGAGACCTAGGGTCTAAAAGCGATATTTCCATATGGCTGAGGAAAGAGCAAATTAAAAAAGTTCCGAAAACGAAGTGGATGGGGAATCTGTTGTCCAATTACAAATTTTCTTTCTATGGCGATTTGTTTTTTCTTTTAACTCGACTCAAAATCATGGATTTTTTTGAATACTTTCTTTTGAATATTGTTTTGGAACATTCCACCTACCAGTAACCGTAATACTGCCGGTCGAGAAAATCTTCAATGTGGCCTTGGGATAACGCAACTTATATGTCACACCCGGATGCAATTCGGGCTCATAGCTGGCCGCTTCACGATATTTCTCCGAGAAATTAACAATTTTAATTGCCCATGGCATACTGCATGTACCCAAAACATTGACAACACGGAAATTATGAAAGCGAGCACGAAATCCCAACTTTTCCAAGGTTCGGGCATAGCGGCGAGCTGCTATTTTGGCCTGAAAGGAATATAAAAAAAAAATGAATATTTATTTTTATTGAAATTTACAACAAAAGTTGTGTTACCTGTTCCTCGGAAGTGGCTCCGGTACATGTTATGCGGCCCGATGACCATATCGATGCAGTGGTATATGGACGTCGCAACTTCATGGTGACCATACCATTCTCGCGGCGATATTCAACATTGGCTCCGTTCAAGGCAATTTCACGTAAATTCAAATGACAACGAACACTAAAGGAACATACAACATTATTGATGACAATGTCAATTTCAGGTTCGGGTTCTTGCTCGGCAGCAGCCACCGCAGCTGAGGAATCGTTTGTGGTGGTGGCGGCGGCGGCGGCATTATCAGTACCATTGGTTACTCCGGCGGTGTTAGAAGATTCTGTTGCTTTGGCCAAGGAAGTTGATGAGGTGGAGAAGGAGGAATTGTTGGCTGCTGTGGTGGTGATGGTGTTGTTGATGTTGCTATTTGCCAAGGAAGCTGTTGAGAAGGAGGCGGACGAGGATGCAAATGTTGTTGTTCCATATGAGGATGATGATGGTGTTGCTGTCGAGGCGGAGGAGGAGATGGAGTTGGAATAGTTATTGTGATTATAATTTTGGTTTATGTTGTTGCTGTACGTTGATGTTGTTGTATAACTGTTGTTGTTATTATTAGATGATGTTGTTGTTTGCTGCTGCTGTGTTGCATTATGAATAATATGGCCATTAGGAACTAATTTTGAGGCGGGTTGTTGCTGTTGTTGTTGTTGTTGTTGATGATGATTATTTGGATTTTTATTAAATGTGTTGCTGTTGTTGTTGCTGTGGTGGTGCTGGCTAAAGTGACCATTCATTTGGTTTTGTGGTGTTGTTGTTGTAGTTTGTTGCGTATAAGTCAACGCCGACGACGACGATGATGATGGTGCTGCTGATGATGTTGTTAATAGGGCGGTGGCGGCGGCGGAGGATGATGATGTTGTTATTGCATTGTGTAGTGTTGCTCCCGTTCCGGAAACTGATTTCAGCAGTACACCAGCGGCTGCTGTTGTTGTCCTGCCCACATTGTTCCCAGCTATGGTGACAGCATTTATTTGAGTTTTATTTAGAAACTGATTTTTGGTTAAATTGCTATTATTCAAAATTGTTGCTGTTGTTGTGGTCGCATTGGATGCGGACGAAGCCGCCACTGCTGTTATATTGTTTATCGTGGCACGTTGTGGTATACTTTTAACTATTTTCAGTTGTTGTTGTTGTTGTGGTCTCAAATGTTGCAGATTGGCGGTGGTAATGGTACCGAAACGCTGCTGTTGTTGCTGGGGCAAGTTGGCAGTTATGGTTCTGTTTGTTGCCGCTGTCTTTGTGGCTGTTAGGAAAGTTTTGTTGTTGCCATTGTTGTTGTTGTTGGTGGTGGTGGCCACCGTTATGGGCGAGCCTTTGACAACATTGATAATCTGGCCCTTGCCTGCCGCATGTAGCACCTGTTGCGTCTTAATTAAGGTGGCCGGTATGGCCTTGCCACCGGCCGTATTCAAAATGGTGGCATGTTGCAAACGCTGGGTGGCATTGCCAGCAATAATTGTATTGTTGTTGCGATTTATTAAAACCGTTGTACGTTGTTGTTGTTGGTTGCCGACGTTGGCCGTGGTGGTGGTGGTGGTATTGGTGTTGGCGGGTTGCTGCTGTGAGAATTGGGAGAAATGACGTATGGTGGTGGTGGTGTTTCCATTGCCACTTGCCGCAGCTGTGGAGGTGGTAATCAAACGTTGCTGATTTGCTGGCAAATAGCTGGAGGTGACAACACCATTGCCAGCTGCACTACTACCATTGATGTGCTGATGCAGCTGTTGTTGATAGGCCGAAACAACACCCGACGCTGTGGAGGTATTGGTTAACAAAAAGGTACCCGATGTTGTTGAGGTGGTGTTCGAGGATGATGAGGAGGCGGCAGCCGCATCCGTTATAACGGCCAAGCCACCATTGCTGGTGCTAACAATGTTGCCAATCGGCACATTGACAACATTTTGAGAAACCAATAATCTCTGTTGTTGCTGTTGCTGCTGCTGTTGTTGTTGTTGCTGCTGCTGCTGTTGCAACAATTGCTGGTATTGTTGATAGGTTATTATGGTAGAAGCCCCCGTTGCACCATTGGTTAGCAGAATGGTTTGGGTGGGGCTGGGTATCACCATGTTAGTGATGGCGCTGCCCGAGCCAACCACAGAGTTAGTTGTAGCCACGTTAGATGCACCACCGGTGGAGCTAACCAGATGACTGCCGGCCTGTAAAATTGTTGTTGGATTATTACCACCACTGCCGCCGTTGCTGCTTGTTACAACATTGCCCACCAAAATGTGATTGCCACCAGCCGACACTGCTGTTTGTGCTCCAGCTCCAGCCACGTTTGTCAATGATTTCATGCAATTCTTATTGTTTTGCAACAACGTGGCCATACCAATGTTGCTGCTATTGCTAATATACATTTGTTGCTGGCTGGCTGGCTAGGTTTTTGCTGGCAATAGGTTTCCAAGGAAAAAGAGAATGAAGAAAAAGAAAGGTGTGATACGTTCAAAATTCCTCCCTCCCCTTGGTTGAGGAAAATCCTATTTGATATGAAATGTTTTTCTGGGTGAATGAAATGTTCTCTTCTTCTTCTTCTTTTTGTCAAAAATTTTGGTTTTGTTTTGGTTCCTCTCGCTTGTTTTTCAAAATTCTTTTGTTCTATTCCGCTTTGAAAAAAATATTTTCAGAAAGAGTTTGCCTTTTGTTTTGATATACCGTTTTGAGTTTAGAAACATTAACTTTGTTTTTAGTTGTTTTTGGGGGTTTTGTTGTTGTTGTTGCTTTTGGTTTATTTCTTTTTATGTTGTTATCTATTTTGTTGTTGTTGCTGTTGTGTGTTTGATCAAGTCTTTCGTTTCTTTCTCCTTAGGGGGTTGTTGGTTTGTTTTTATATGCTTGGTTATTATTATTTTTGTTTAATATAGTTATTTTGTTCTTTTGAAACAGTCTGGAAAGAGAGAAGAAAAATATGTAAAGAAATTAGTAAAAAATATATAAACAAACCAAAAATATTAAAAATTAAACAATTGTATTAAAAAATATAAGTTTTTTCTTGTTACTTTTCCTATAGAAATTGTCCAACAGCTTCTCTGAGAGAGAGAGTAAGGTACTTTAATTCTCTTTTGCAAGAAAATTGGTAAAAGTCAAGGGAGGCGCAATCAGACAAGCAATCAGTGATCTTTCAAAACAAAACAAATTTTTTGTTAGACTTGCGATTTATAAAATCGAGAGTTTATAAATTTTCTTTCTCAAAAAAAAAAAAGAAATATGAATAACCGGAAGAAGAAGAGTTACAAGAGGAAATTTGCTATTGTACAAGAGGAATATTGCTATAATTTGTAAACTATAAACTGTAAAAATTGGAGAACTTTTATGTTAACAGACGACTTCCAGTTACAATTTCCAACAATTGTTACAAATTTTAGAGTAGCCAGATACGCCTATAATTTTAAACCCCAGCTTTTTTTAAACGACAAACGACTCTTGGTACTGAATAGGTCCATGTTTAGTTATAGCCCCCATAAAACTGTACCTCCTTATATTCGGTATTTGGCTGATTTTAAGGATTATTAACCGGAATTGTTTTAAATTTTGCATTTGAAGTTGGATTCTAATGGATTCTACAGTTCATGACAAAAATTGTCTATGTTAGTCCAGGTCTTCGTATAGCCCCCCATGTATCGATACCTCCCATTATTCGGTATTTTGCTGATTTTGAAATTGTTTCAAATTTGGTATATGAAATTTTTAATAGGTACAGCTTGTGAAAGACAATTGTCTATGAAGGTCCCGAAGGTATCCGTATAGCACCCATATATGGTGACCTCCCTCTATTTTGATGATTTTAGCGACATTATTCACCCGAATTGTTTCAAATTTCGCGTTTCAAGTTCCTAATGGGTAGTATAGCCTGTGACAAAAATTGTCTATGCAGTTCCACGTCTTCTTCGTATAGTCCCCATATAACAGTATCTGCCTTTATTCGGTATTTCTGAGATTTTAGCGACATTATTCACCGGAATTGTTTCAAATTTCGTATTTGAAGATATTAATGGGTACCTGCAGCCTATGACAAACAATTACGGCTTAACTCTAGTTTAGTAAAAACTCTTCAATTTTTTCGAAATTTTTTTCAGTGGTAGGTATTTTAACCATGATCCCAGAAAACTATTTTTTTCTTGGGGGACGGACCTGGGACCCCAGATTTTTGACCCGAAAGTCCGGGTTCAAGACCCCGACTAGACCCGGATCCACTTACCCGATATTGACATCGTTGGAAAGCTTATGAAAATACCTATCCAACAAGTGGTCACATGATGTTACGGTTCGGAAGTTATAGTCAAATTATCCATTTTTTGGACCTGGATTTTTTATGAAACCCCCAAAAAGTCAAAAAAGGGTCCATTATGGGGGACAACAAAATTGATGCCAAATTATAGCTGACACTTCTACCTTTTCAAAATGCTACAATTTGTGCTAATACCTTCACTGAGTCCAGAGATATGGGTCTTTCCATCCGCATAACCCGATTCTTACCAGTTCATTAAAACTATGTTTTCAATAAAAATAGGTATATTTTGCATAAGAATGAAATTCAGAAATCTTTGGTTCGCGTTAGCCGGTGTAGGACATACTCAGAGGAGAAAATCTCAAGCCCCGGCCGAAGGCCGGCTACTTACAAAAGGTATCCAATTTAGAAAACTTTGGTTCGCGTTAGCCGGTGTAGGACATACCCAGAGGAGAAAATCTCAAGCCCAGGCCGAAGGCCGGCTATTTAAAAAAAGTGTCAAATTTAGAAAACTTTGGTTCGCGTTAGCCGGTGTGGGACATACCCAGAGGAGAAAATCTCAAGCCCCGGCCGAAGGCCGGCTATATACAAAAAGTGTCAAATTTAGAAAACTTTGGTTCGCGTTAGCCGGTTTAGGACATACCCAGAGGAGAAAATCTCAAGCCCCGGCCGAAGGCCGGCTACTTACAAAAGGTATCCAATTTAGAAAACTTTGGTTCGCGTTAGCCGGTGTAGGACATACCCAGAGGAGAAAATCTCAAGCCCCGGCCGAAGGCCGGCTATTTACAAAAAGTGCCGAAATTATGAACCTTTTGTTCGCGTTAGCCGGTGTCGGACATACCCATAGGTGAAAATCTCAAGCCCCGGCCGAAGGCCGGCTATTTACAAAAAGTGCCAAATTTAGAAAACTTTTGTTATTCCGGCGACTGCTACGCAAAATAAACACTTTTTTTATTAAAAACATCATTTTAATGAACTGGTTAGAATCGGGTTATGCGGATGGAAAGACCCATATCTCTGGACCCGAAAAAGGTAATAGCACAAATTGTAGCATTTTGGAAAGGTAAGAGTGTCAGCTATAATTTGGAAACAATTTTGTTGACCCCCATAATGTGCCCTTTTTTGACTTTTTGGGGGTTTCATAAAAAATCCGGGTCCAAAAAATCGATAATTTGACTATAACTTCCGAACCATGACAACCTTTCATGTGACCACTTGTTGGATAGGTATTTCCATAAGCTTTCAATCGATACCCATATTGTCTATATCGGGTAAGTGGATCCGGGTCCAGGCGGGGTTTTGATCCCGGACTTTCGGGTCAAAAATCTGGGGTCCCGGGTCCGTCCCCCATGAAAAAAATAGTTTCCCGGGATCAGGGTAAAAATACCTACCTCTGGAAAAAATTTCGAAAAAATCTAAGAGTTTTTACTAAACTAGAGTTGTTCCACAATTACTTTTGCAGGTCCACGTTATCGTATAGCCACCCCATTTAGACGTTATTTTTCGGATTTATTTCTAAAATTTTTCAATTTCCTTCCAAATTTAAAAGTTCGGACTTTGCTGCATTTTATTTGTTGGCCAAGACCCGGGGCTGTATTCATGTTCTATGAAAATATGAAATGAAAAATATTTTCTTTAAAACTTTTCAATTTCACCTTTGGCATTACATCGCGGGATTTGAGTTGAAAATTAAATTCTCCGAGTGTAAAGGCTGATTCCAACTAGCCCAGAACTCCACATAAAATCCGCAATGAACACTTAAAAACAATTCGTAGTTATATTCCACATATTAGGGCTCACTAGTCTGATTAATTGTTAGTGAATTAGGGCAAACTAGTAACACAAGAGTGTGTTGGGAAAAATTATGAATCATATATAAAATGGAAATACACATGGTTAGTAAAAGTGTCAGCCGAGATTCAAACCCATTCCGTCTAATAGTGCCGTAAAAGAACAAAGCAGCCAAGGGGGAACAAGTAAAAATTATTGGCCGAAATGCAACTAAGGCTGGAAATACATAAAGAGCATATTTGGCTGACTTAAGTCATCGGCTGGCTTCTTCGTAGATGAACAAAGGAGTTTTAGGTTGACTTAGTTCGATTTTGGCCCTTTGGCTCCTTTGTTCATTTCCGAAGAAGCCAGCCGATGACTTAAGCCAGCCAGATAAGCGCTTTATGTATTTCCAGCTTCAGTCTCTCTTGTATACTGGCTTAAGTCCTCACCTGGCATCTTCGTAAAAAGAAACAATTAAGGTTAGAATACATAAAACGCTTTTTTGACGGGCTTAAGCTATAAAGAAGTTTTAGATTGGCTTAGTTCGATTTTGACCCCATGCTCCATTGTTCTTTTCCTAAGCCAGTACATAATCCTTTTATGTATCTGAACCTTTATTCTTTTTGAAATAAATACCCTAACGTTGTTCTTCTTAAATTAAAAAATAAACGTTTATTAAAAATTAAAACAGAAAAAATCTCCAAAGGAAATTTTCAATTCCCAAGAGAAATAGAGAGAGAGAGAAACAGAGAGTAATGAATTATTGATTATGCATTCCAAAATTTTCCAATAATTTTTAGAAATCATTAAACCGATAAGAATGAATTTCAAGTAGGCAAACAAACTCCCTCTTAAAGCAATCTTTATTCCCCCAGGGAAATCTAAAATATTTCTTGATATTAATAATTATAAAACAACACAACATGTATGCCCCCCACCACCAGCAAAAACTCAAATTATCACACAAGATGATTTATCAGCCTACATATGTATATTTCCTCAAATGTAAATAATTTATTAACTTTAATCGATTTTATAATTTATGTAAGCATTATTAAAAATAAATTCAATATGCAACCACATTTCATTTCATCATAACATTTCATAGTAAATGTTAATTAACATTCAACTGTTAATTGACAAAACAGATACTAAACAGGGGAGGAGGAGGTGGAGAAGGTCCAAAGTATTTTGTTTTCGGGTTCATAGTAACAAAGAATATGTCGAGACATATGCATAGATTTTATGCAACAATTATTATAGTTTGATTTTCTTATTTCTTATATTAGTTTTTGTTATTGTGGCATACATTGGCACACATGTATGTGTGTGTGTGTGTTCATGTGAACTACTTTACAGTCAAGTCTGACCCCAATAATCTATGTAAAATGTACACACAAGCACACACAGACAAAATGCAAGTGATTGAGAGAGAATTGTTGTGTTGTTTTTCTTTTTTCTTGGCCGACAAAACCAATTTACTATGAGCATATAATAATACATATGTGCTATGTAGGTACATATATACACATATGTAATTATTAAACATTATAGACAAAACAAAAAAAAGCAAAGTCAATAAGTAGATTCTGTGTGTGTCTCAACGCAACAACAAGTGATTTTATACACATAATTTGTAATATACACATATATGTGTGTTTTTGTATGTGTATTAGGGTGTGAAGAAGAAACAAGCAGGTCTTCCTTCTGTAGTAATGACTAAATATTTACTAGAAACTTTTGTGATTGGTAGAATGTGTGCCACATAAATGACGTACAAAAGTGAAATACGTTCCATTAGAGGGTGTTCAGTGATCATATGTTGAAGCACTTGATATCCAAGGCGTATAAGTATTATCAAAACTTATACGCCACCACACATACAT